AGGCACTGGGTTTTATCCTCAGTACCACATAAAAGAAAACAAATAGAATAATGGCATGCTGTCCAGCTGCAACTACAAAAAAAATTTAGGGTCTCTTCCCTCTGGTGGCAATTAGCCAAATCAGCTCTGCTCAGTTAACTGAATATTATTTCACAGACAGTAGGCAGGGAGGGGGAAGTAGAAGTCAGTGGTTTTCATTTGTGGCTTTTAGCCTGACCTCTATCCTAGAACAGAGAAATTAAAAAAAAAAAGAAAGAAAGAAAGAAAGAAAAGAAAGGAAAAGAAAAAGAAATCCAAACATAATATTTCAAAGTTCTCACAATAATCACTAAGACTCAAAGGGGAGATAATAGTATATAACAATAATATTCAATGACCATATGAATTCTAACTTATTTTGAAGAAAGATTTGAAAAATAAATTATATAAAGAACTATTTTTAAGTTTCATATATGTATATGTGCAACAAGTGGGGTATTTTCAGTTAAGGATTAGAATAAATAACATTGTTTTTCTAAATTGTCAAAGATAACCTGTCTTAAGGTTAAATAACAATCCTAGAGTAAGAACTAGAGCTTTTAATTTTGACTGATCCCCAAACCCCAGTGGTTGCACTGATATGACCTTGAAATACAGTTCAAACCATACTTTAACCATCTGAGTTAGGGAAACTTGCTCACAGATCAGAGTTGTGCTTATGAGAAATTATCAGCATATAATAAGCACCACAGATATTGCTTCAGCATTTACCATCTTCTGGTTTATGAAGCCATGACATAATATAGACAGTAACCAAAAACCCCTTAAGAGGAATAGTAGTTTATGAGGAATTTTTGTATTAAATATTTGATTTTACATATTTACTATGTATGTAAAAGTATGTATTTATTTTGTGATATTTTAAAGGTTTTTTATATTTATATTTTAAAGTTTTTCTAGAACTAGAATCCAAAATAACAACACTGAATTCATAGGAAATATGTGCAGGCTTTCAAGTGTATTCCAACAACCAGTAGGATCAAAAGCTGAGGGTTACTAATAAACATACTCTCAGTTGGACTGACATTATAAGCAAGTAACCAACTATACAAAATAATTTCTGGTAGGTCTAGGAGGCTCTTCCCTTTATCTTTCTCAAATTCCATTCTAGAGATTTATTTACAGATTGAATGACCAACTATAATCTGGGGATAAAACCCAGGGCCTTGCTGTGCTAGGCAAAAGTGCTCTACCACTGAGTGACATTCCCAACCCCAATTTTTATTCTTTAATTTAAAACTCTGACTCTAGACAAAAATGACAATTTAAGACTTTATAGGATATTTGTATTTTACTATAAATGAATTACTAAGTTCTTAAGGAAGTTTGGATGAAGTAAAGATGAAAGGTGCAAAAATGCATTGTCACCTCAAAAGACAGTACTACATGGGAAAGATACCACCAAAAGGGAAGGCCAAGATGACATATTTATGTCACAATTGTAGACCAATTCATCCTAGTAAATGTTCAGATATTTTTCAGTACCTTGCAATTTCTATATCTATAATTTCATATACTAAAAAACCCATTTGTTCAATAAAATATTTTTCTGAAATTTATCTCATATTATACACAATCAATGAACTTACATACAAACACAATGTGCAGCTTTTCCACTTTTAAGTGATGTTAACTATAAAACTTAAAGTATACCAGGTCGGTATTCTCTCATTTAAAATATAACAGAAATCTGAATCTGTGTTTTTGATGATGAAACAGAAATAAAAGAAATAAAAAGTATTTCATGTAGACACTACCCCTTCTGTAGTCAACTTAAGTTATTTGTCAATGTCTATGGCCTATGCAAAAGACTGTGCTGAATGTTATGGCAACAAGGAATAGAACCTGAACAAGTAGAACACAAGGGAATCTCAGGCTCCAGAACTTTGGATGGCTTAGATACTGTCTCAACTTGCATTAAAAGCAAAAGTTTCAAAACAGGTAGTAGGGCCGGGGTTGTGGCTCAGTGGTAGAGTGCTGGTCTATCATGTGTGAGGCACTGGGTTCAATCCCCAGCACAACATAAAAACAAATAAATAAATTAAATAAAGGTATTTAAAAGAAAAACACAAGTAGTGTATGAAAAAATATCAGGAAACATTTTTTTTCTTTTCTGTTAGTTGAATTCTTTGTACAAAAAACTGTTTGAAGAGTTCATGACTATTTTTCTGAAAAGTTAAAACAATGTGAAGTAACTCCCCAAAATCTTAAAGTATTTCCCAAAGTTTATATTATTGTCATCTGAAACACTCCATTGTAAATGAAATGAATGAAGAATTTATGCCTGGTTTTCCCATAAATTATCACTTGTTTAAAATAAAAAAAGTCATGACATGTCTTCCTACCTGAAGATCTGCAGAGACAAAACTGCCTGGATCGGAGTCATTTTGTATAACTGGAACTGAGCATTTGTCCTCATCTGATGACATTCTGCAAAAATACTATAAAATGGTAGAAACTAATTTTAGTATTTTCCCTTGACATTTAAATTAAAATGGTTTTAAATATATATTCTTACCTGCAAATAAACTTCATGTTATGTGTTAAAAAAGTATTCATTTAATATATTGAGAACCTTTATACAAAAATCACTGGGCAAGGAAAAAATAATGTTTATATGTAGTAAAATACATGAAAAGTCAAAGAAAAGTGTTTTAGAGAAATTCCCATTGGGGTCTGTCGAGAATAATAGATTGTGATCACTGTTCTTTAGCAGCGTGTGACAACCTGAATCCTGTGTGCTTTCCTGTGAGATACTGAACCAACAGAAAATGAACGATTTGCATAAATTCTTTCTGGGGAAACCTACTTTTTGGGAATATTATATTAAGAAAAGCAAGCTTATACAGAACTGATTCAAATACACATACAGAAAAATTATTGAAATTCCTAACCAAAACAAATAAATAAATAAATATACCTTAAAAGACAAATAATGATTATTTAAACTATGTGAACACCAGTTAATGTTAAGACATTAGTGAGGAACTGTAAAATGAAGTCCCTATATTGTAAACCATCTGTGAAGTGGTGTGCATATATGCATATATATATATACACACACACACACACACATACATACACACATATATACACACATGTATGCATGTTTATATAGACACACATGAAAACATATATACATAGACATACACATATATATTTATTTTTCATTTATGTAATATATATGACAGATGAAAAACTTGCTGTTAGACCCTAAAATAACAGAGGTACACAGTATGGAGATAGAAAGAAGGAGATAGAAAGAAGGGTAGGATTACATGAGTGTGAAGAATTGGGAAAGAAGCCAAGGAAAGTTTTTATAAAAAAGATGGCCCAGGCATTGAGAACTGAAAGATGAGTAGGTCTCATCCTGAGAGATGGATCAAAGATAAAAAGGATATTCTGGGCACCAAAGCAGCATAAGCAAAGACAAAGAGGCATGGTACAAATGCTAAGGACAGCAAGAAGTTTGGCAAGGTTGAAGTGAAGAGTACAAAGAGGGCTTGGCTAAGGATGAAATGAAAAGGTAAGGAGCAGTTAGATCTGGAAGAGAATGATTTGTCATATTAAAAAGATGGATTTTTATTCTAGAGAAGTTATTAAACAGGCCCCACTGGGGATATCTCTGAAGCATTTTTTCTTTGACCTTTCATGTATTTGACTGTACTATAAACTCACTTATGTTGGGATTGAGTATTTTTTCTTGCCTAGCATATCTGATATTAAACTCATTGTTCTTCCTCCCAACCTGCTCGTCTTCTTGTATTTCTTACCTTAGTAGTAGCACTATAATTCCACTTAGTTACCCAAGCCAGAACCTGGAAGCCATCAATAATTCCTCTCTTTCAGGTTGCCTCTGAAACACTGGGATAAAACTGCAAGTGCATAGTACAGTCAGCCCTCTCTTCATCCGGGGGTTCCATATATGTGAATTAAACTAACCATGGGCCCAAAATATATTTTTTAAAAATTGCAATATACTAAATGTTAAGTACAGACTTTTTTTTTGGTACCAGGGATTAAATCCAGGGCTGATCAACCACAGCCACGTCCTCAACCCTTTTTTATTTTGAGACAGGGTCTTGCTAAGTTGTTTAGGGTCTCACTAAGTTACTGAGGCTGGCTTTGAATTTGCTATTATCCTGCCTCAGCCTCCCAAGTCACTGGGGTTACAAATGTGTGCCACTGCACCCTGTGTAAAGATTTTTTTTTCTTGTCATCATTCCCTAAAAAATATAACATGGCAACTATTTACCTAGCACTTACATTGTATTAGGCACTATAAGTAGTCTGGAGATAATTTAAAGTATACAGGAGGATATGCATAAGTTATATGCAAATACAATGGTACATTTTACCATTTATAAAAGAGAATTGGGCATCTACAGATTTAGTTGTCTCTATGTATGGGGGTGGTTCTTGGAATCAATCTATCATACTAATATTGAAGGACAATTGTATATGGCTATACTGGCTATGAAGTACATGACTCCAAGGACTGCCATTTATGATTACTAAAATGTGAATATAAGGCAATAAGAACATAAAGTGAAGCAATGTGGGAGTCCTCTACTGGAAGTATAGGTTGGCGATCCAGTCTGAGGAATCATTAGCATAACAGGGTCTGTCAAAAAAATGGGAACGGGTGAGAAGACCTATTACAAGTAGTGCAAGAAAATTCTTATCCTGAGGATCAAACATTTGAATTGCATTTTCAGCATAAATGCACTTGTGTATTTCTCTAGAAAAAGGACCTTTAGCTTCCAATATGTATGTGTTCAGAGGGGATCATAACCCTAAAAATAAGGAGCACGATTGTGAATGAGAAGAGGGTTAAAGCCATAGCTGCTAATAGTTAAAGTGGAAGAGTCAGGAAAGAAGACTGAAAAGGAAGTCAGAATAGCAGAACTATGAGAGCAGTGTCACAAAGACTTCCAGAAGGGATGAGTCAGTCACATGCCAAAGAAAAATGACGACTGCCCTGATTTTGGCAATCAAAAAGTTGCTGGGACATTTGCTTGAATAATTTCGTTGGAAATTGAAACAGGTCTCTATCACAGAGGGCTGAAAAACACATGAGACAAGGACATTGAACTAGAAAGGACAGATTCAGAAAAAAGTGCAATATCAGAATGGAAACATAGGTTACAACTAGATTGCCGAAAGGAATTTCAATTTTATTCAGCATTACACTGAATGATAAGTAAACTAAAACTCCCCATGACTGTCTTTAGTTAAGCCAATTAAAGAGATCAAATGAGCACATATCTGCAGCAAGGAATGGCTGCTTCACTGACTAACTACTTCCACTGTGGTAAGTTGGTTTATTTATATTTTCATTCACATTTTCCTTTAGGATTTGTTTGCAGATCCTGTAAGTAACAGGAAGGGGGAGTGATGTGATTGATGCCAATCATTTAAAAAACGAATGAGCTGGTAAGTATGGGCAAATCTCAAAAACTGTTTCTTAAATATAGATACTGCAGACAAAAAAAAAAAAGATTATACTTTTGGAAATTTGCTGTTTGCCAGCTACCCTGCTTTATGCTAACAAGGTGTGACAATTAATCTGAACCCCGACAACCAGTAACATTTTCCATACTGTTTCTAGGTTCAGAAACAAAGCAGAAAAATTAAGATTGCTTTCATGGGTGGCAGATATACACTATTCCAATACGTTTTCAGTGTTTCCTAACATAAGGTATCAGGAACCACAAGATAAAAAGTTTTGCATGATTCTCAATGCCATGGATATAACGTCCTGGCAATTACCCGGCTGACAGGGAAAGAGGAATTCGGGAATTCAAACGCAACCTCAAAGCAGAAACGTGCAAACTGGCAGCAAGGTGACGATCCCAGTGCCCTTCACCGGTCCTAGCCGCTGCAAGGAGGGGAAGTGCGCTAGCCCCTCTTCAGGGCAGGGACTAGAAGTGGAGGGAAAAAAACAGTCGCAAGTAAGCAAAGGGATATAAGCTTTCTTCCATCATCTTCCAATCCAGCCCTGTTTTAGTTTAAATCTTAAGTCAAAACAATAAAGCGTTATACCTGGTTATCCCCCGCCCCTACTGTTTAAATGACCAGAACCTACGACGACAGTAACTGGTACACTTTACCACCCTTCCCTCCAGTCCTCTCTTCTCGACGGGAAAAAAATCTCGACCCTGAGCACAAAACGCTCAATTGACCGCTCTCGGAGAAGATGCCCCCAGGGTCTCCCGGGTGGAGGAACTTTAAATCTCCCACCATACCTCGGCCAGCGATGCAGGGCCCTCGATGCAGGGCCCTTGGGTGCCACTAGCCACCCTCTGGGCGCTCCACCAAATACCGACTCCTCACTCTTGTTTCCTTGCTGCGTCGCCGCTGAAACCACAGCAAGCCCTGCTGCTATCTTAGAACTAACCTGACAGTTTCAAACTGCAAGGAGGAATTAAAGACAGCTCTGTGCATTGGCCCCCAGCGTCAGCAATCTGCCGTCTGATTGGTCCACGGGTAGGGGGCGGGGCTTTGGGCAGCCGCGGGACAAGCAGGAATTAGGCGATTTAAGCGAGCTCCGCCCCTTGGTATGGGCTGGTTCCTAAGGGCGGGGTCCTAGGGAGCCCCACTCGGGCCTGGGGCTGAGAATTGCGCGTGCTCACTTCTGTTCTGCAGAAACGGTAGCTCGGGATACAGGTTTGGTTTGGTTAGAGGTTGCTGAGGGTGACTGACGTCTGTCAAGACAGAGTTACTACTGGTTCTCAGCAACGCCAGCAGCCTAGGCGTGGGTCATCATTATTTAGTCTAAATAAGAATCCTCTGCGTCCATAGCTACTTACAGGCGGTGGAGCACGCCTATAATACCAGCGGCTCGGAGGCCGAAGGAGTTCAAAACCAGCCTCAGCAAAAGCGAGGCGCTGAGCAATTCAGCGAGACCTTCTCATTGAATAATATACAAAGTAGGGCTGGGCATGTGGCTCAGTGGTTGAGTACCCAACCGGCGGGGTCCCCCCGCCCCCCCCCCAAAAAAGAGTACAAATTACCTATCCCCTTGTTAATTTCTTGAGTCTTGGATAAAGACAGTGAATTTGAATGTTTAACAAATACTGCCATTAATTCTGATGCAGAGATGTGGGGGTTATGCTTTAAGAAATATCTGGCCTAGACAGCAACGCAGGCCCTTTTAGGGGAGTACTGACCTTACAATCAGATCTTAATCTGGCTTCACCACCTACTCATTGTCCCCTTGGATAATTAAATCTACCCACATAAAGGGCAGGGAGTAGGGAGATTAAACAGTTAATATATTCAAAACACCAACCACATAGACAAAAAAATGAGTCAACTTGTATTGGCAATAGATATATATATATAGTATATAAGGATCCAGGTGGTAAGGAGTCCAGCCCTGGGGTACTCCAGTCTGAAGAACAAATAATAAGATTTGGTGAGTTTCCCTTCCTTCTATTACCTGAAAGATGAGGTTTCTTTTTCTGTGGATAGAAGTGGAATAACCTGGGTCTCACTGGTAGAGTTAGACTTCTACTTATTCAGACCATGAAGTAAGAAGAGCCACCAAAAATTTCTTTAGCATAAATTATGTCTGTTTTCTTTTTCTCCCATGGTTATTATAAAGGACAAATTGCTACTAATAGATAAAAATTAGTGCCTCATTCTAATATCTGCTTTTTAATTTGATTACCATTTGGTGGACCCCATCTGCTATAATTGTTGCTGGTTCACTTTTCCTGTGCCATCCTGGTATAGGCTCCAAGTTTCTGTTCCCTATCTCCCTTTTACAGGAAGACTTTCACAAAAATCATAAGCCATCCCCATTCTTGTATGAAACTACAGAAACAGAGTCCAAACCTCATCTGGATGATACGAATTTAGAACTGATTCTTTCCCCAGAAAAGGAGAGAATTTAAATTCAAACAAACCCTCAATAATTTAATTGCCCGCTTAAATTCTTTGTAATTATTCATTCAACAACTATTTAACATCCATCACATGTGAAGCATTTGTTGATGTAGGGATACAGTAGTCAGCAAAGCAGACATGGTCTGCCTTCATGGAATTCAGAGTCTACTTGTAAAAAACAAATATTACAAAAACCAGAATAAGGAATAATTACAAATTGTGTTTGAAGTAAGGAAAAATAAAGAAATACCCATCTGAGTAGGAACTATCCAGTCAAGAACTTACTTTATCTAATAAACACATATAGTGCTTACTGTGTTCTGGAAACTATACTGTGGTACTCATTAACTCAGTTCTAAGGACTTCTGTGACATAGGTGCTATTTCTATCCTCATTTTTCAGATACAGAAATTAGGCACAAAGAGGTTATGTAGATTGGCTAGGTTAACATAGCTATAAGAGCAGGTTTGGAGTCCATATGCTTATCACTCAGTATGTACTGTTGGGAACAGCATAACCAAAGTCTTGAGGTAAGAAAGTATTCATATCTGATGAAAGGAACAAAAGCCAGTTAGACTGGAACTTAGTAGATGAGAAGAAAGTGGCATAGGAGGAGGCTGCACGTAGAGGTAGAGAGACAACTGTGCAGAATGTATTAAAGGTATGAGATTTTATGAGTCCAATGGGATGTTTTTAGATGTTCAGAAGAGAGGTGAAAACAATATGGACTAGAGAAATTGCAATGGAGATAGAAAACTTATGAGCTAATTTTGGAGGTAGTGTTGATGGGACTTGATGGACTATATCTGAGATGAAGGAGAGAAGAGTGTCAAGGATTTCTGGCTTGAGCACCTGGGTGGATGTCATCCTCATACAGTGTTGAGGAGAATACTGGAAGAGGAACATGTTCTGAAAGGGGAACATCAAAATTCAATTTAAAATATGCCTGACAGAGGAAATGCCTGGAGGTATCCAAGTGGATAGTCTATTAAACCACTGGACATAGAACTCAAAAAAGAGTTCAGGGCCTGAGAATATAAATTTGGAAGCTTTTGCATATAGATACTGTGGAGGATTGCAAAAATGGCTCCAAATTTTCCTGTATCTATGTCCTTTGCCTTGTTTTCCCACTAATGATCTGGAGGATGCTACGTGATACAAGCAGAAACTTTTAAAATGCTTATGTGGTTGCCTTGACTTGCTCCTGCTCTCAGTTATAACCATGAATGCATGATGAGGCTAGCCCCCTGAATGAAGAAAGATACATGTAGTACAGCTAAGTTGCCTCAGTCATCACAGCTAAGCGCATGCAAGATAACCCTATAGCCAACTTGATGTCCATAGTGGTGTTTGTGTCCAATCAAGACCAGCAGGTCCATTCAGCCAACCTTCAGAGTCACAAACTAAATAAGTGTTGTTTGTTTAAAGCCTTTGTGTTAGGGTGGTTTTGTTATGTGGACTTACTATAGCAATATAGAATTGATAAAGATATAATATTTAAAAGCTAAAGAACTAGGTGAGAAAGTGTGGGAAGACACAGTGGATATACAAGAGCATTCATAACTGAACCTGATGTTCTCTAATATTTGGAGATTTGGTAGCAATGGAAGAATCAGCAAAAAACACTGAGACGGAGGTGCTGGAGAAGTAACAGGAAAACCAGAAACCTGACTGTTGAGAATTTGCTCTAGTGTGTTTCTTCTTTGGATCCCCACCATTTTTGGTTAAGCCATTGTTGAATTTGGCCTGGTGTTTCTCGATTGTACCCCTTCATTTCCTCTTTCTACATTATATTCTTTGTGTTGCGCATAAGTTGTTTTTTAAAATATCACTGGATTGGATTGTATTATTTGTTTCTAAGAATCCTTCCATGTTACTGTAGGCATTCAAAGCTCTTATAAGCCTAATCCTACCAAATATCAGAAGGGCTAAATTTGAGTCCCCCAATTTACCACTTACTAGGTGCAAAACTGGGAAAATTGTGTAATCTTTATAACTATAAAGCTCCATCTCTTCAATGTTAAGAAAATAATAGAACATAACATATCTAAATCCAAATCTAAACCTGAACTGGAACCTAAATCAATCTATTTATCTATATCTAGTTCATAGTAAAATAATCAAAGGTGGGCATATTACCTGTCTACCTAGACTCCATTTTCCACCCAGCCTTTCAGATAAGTGAGGCCATGGATGAATGCAAGTGAAGACAGAAGTGAAGTCTGTAAACTGCCAGAACTGGGATATGAGACATAAGTTGTGCTTTTTTCAAGTCTGATTCTCCTTTCTCACTGTTGGGCTGAATGACCACATGGAATAGAATTCCTCTGCTAGTTATGTAATATGAGAAAACAGACAAATCTTGTTTTTTCCCCTGTATAATTATATTTTTGAGTAAATTTGCTTCAGTCTTTAATAACACATCTACATCTGTATAGATAAGTATATAAAGTCATTGGGAAGTAATATGTGTAAAAGCATTTAAATTTTTAAAAAAAGATTAACCTGTTGCTGGATGCAGTGGAACATGCCTATAATTCCAGCTACTCAGAAGGCTGAGGCAGAAGGATTCTAAGTTTGAGGCCAGCCTGAATAACTATTATAGTTTGGATCTGGAGTGTTCCCCTAAAGGCTCATATGTTGAAGTCTTTGTCTCTGATGCCAGAGTATTCAGAGGTGGGGCTCTTGGGAAGTGATTTGATCATGGTGGCTCTGACTTAATCAGTGGATTAATGCATTGATAGGTTCATAACTTATGGCATTATTGGTAGCTCATAGGAAATTGAGTAGGTCGGGCCTAATTGGAGAAAGCAGGTAAATGGAGATGTTTCCTGGAAGAATATATTTTGTTCCTGCCCCCTTCCTCTCCCTACACCTCACTTCCTGGCTGCCACAAGGTGAACTTTCCTCCAACATGCCCTTCCACCATGATGTGTTGCCTCATCTCATGCCCAAAGCAATGAAACTTGCCAACCATGGACTGAAACATCTCTGTCAGACAAAAGAAATCTTTTCTCCTGTAAGTTGATTTTCTCAGGTATTTATCACAGTGATAAAAAGATGACCAACACAGCAACTTTATGAGATGCTTTCTCAATTGAAATAAAAAAAGCTGGGGTTTGGGGGTTGTTGCTCAGTGGTAGAGTGCTTGCCTTGCATGTGGAAGGCAGTGGGTTCAATCCTTAATACCCCATAAAAATAAAATAAAGGCATCGTGTAAATGACCACATGGAATAGAACTCCTCTGCTAGTCCATCTACAACTAAAAATAAAATAACTAAATAAATACATAAAATAAAGTTATATATTTAAAAAAGGTCTGGGGATGTAGTTCAGCAGTAGAGCCTTGCCTAGTATGTACAAGGCCCTGCGTTCAGTTCCCCATATTGCTAACACAGACAAACAAGCAAACAAAAAGCTTACTTACTTTTAAGTCAGCCAAGTGAGATAGAAAGAACATTGGTTTTGGATTAAACTTCCCCAAGAAATAGGCACAAAGCCTAGGTGGCTCTTGGTATTGGTTGGGGAGCTTGTCTTGGGT